AACAAAAGTTTGTTCGCTCGTGTTCGGCTCGAATTGGCTCGAAAATAAATAAATTAATATATTTACATAATTAATATTCATTAAATTAAATATTTTAAATTATAATTAATTTAATTTTTCTAACTAATATATTTTCACATTTTATTAAATCAATTCCTATAAATTATAATATATAATAATTTATTATTAATAATATTTCAATATTATTTATATAAATAATAAAACAGAGTTTTAAAAAATAAATAAATAAAATATTTTTAAATATATAAGGCCAAAAGCCGAAAACCCTAAGTCCCTAACCGGTTCGCACTTCGCTCATTCTCGAAACTTCGTTCGTTCGGCATCCTCTCCGTCTCCCTCTTCCGAGTTGCAACTATACTCCTCCGACGGCCGCGACAACTTAGGGCTTGTCTTCTATGCTCTTCTATCTAATCTCTACTTCTTCTTCTCGACGCTGTTGGCTCGATTGATTGGTATTCTTGCTTGTTTGTTCGATAGTCTTGCACGGTTGTTTGTTTGGAGACCTAGGTGTTATCTTTGAGTATTTTTTCAGTAATATTTCATACTTATCTTCAGGTATGTCTCTTGTATTAAACTTTCTTAAATTTCTTTTAGATTTATTTAGATTTTTTAGTGATCTTAGGGCTTGTAGAAGATTTATTTAGATTTAGTGGTTTTTTCATTGTAATGTTAGATTTATCTAGATTTATTTAGATTTTCATTATAAAATTAGGGGTTTTCAATTAAGTTAGGTCAACACATTTAGATTTATGTGTATGTAAATCTGATTTAGTGGTTTTTTTGGTTATAGTGTTTAGATTTATGACCGCTGAATTAAACTTGGATATTTGTTTAACAGGCATAGATCATTCGGCTCTCATGTATTCTTATATCTTAAACATGAGCTTCAGTTTTCCCATATATACTACCTTTACTTATTTCTCAAAGACAAATATGTGTCTCTGCAAATATTGATTCTGAATAACAAATTTGTTGGTTTGGGGAAGATTTGAAAATGCTTTTGAGTTGCTGTTATGACTCTTGCTGTGAAAAAATTTAGAAATGGTTACTTGATGCTCGGCTATTATCTTATGATGTGGCATAAGTTGAGAAATGACTATTTTATGTGTCATAAGTAATAAGTTTGTCATATTGTGGTGAATCATTATGTGGCATAAGTTTTTCAACTGTTAAGGAAGATGAATACTTGATTTTATAATGAAGTTATGTAGATCAGCCTACAGAACTTGAATGAGAGCAAACGCATTTAGAACTTGAGTTTGAACGAGTGAATCATTATGTGGCATAAGTTTTCCAACTGTTATGGACTCCTCCTTCTCGACGCATTTAGTATTTAGTGAGTTCAACACATTTAGATTTATGTGTATGCACTACTCCTTCTCGGAACTGTTGCTATCTTTATCTTATGCATTATATTCTGCTGAATCTGCTCTACTGTTGTGACTTGCAGTTTTGACTCTTGTTGTGAATAAATTGAGATCTGACTATATGATGCTCTCTAATTGTTATAAGTTGAGAAATGACTACATGTTTTGACACTTTATGTGCCAAACACTCTTTTTTCTGGGTTGTTTTAATGACTAGCTTTGTTGTTGTTTTAAAGATAAGCTTCCATCTGATGTATATTTGAAATGTGTTTTCATGTTTTCAAGATGAGCTTCCAAGTTCCAACATAGCTCAGAATGATTTGAAATGTGTCTTCATGTTTTAATGGCTGCATAGTGCCATTACAAATTTTGCTCAACAATGATTGATTTGTCTTCACAATACTAATTCCGTAGATTTGATTTCAGTTAGCGTGCAAGTGCAAATATGTCCGAATTAAATCTATCACAATCAGATTCATCCAACAATCAGTTGCTACCAGAAGCTCAGAATAGCAATGATATTGCCATTCATAATTTACCAAGTACAGAGCCAGAAGTTGTACCTCAAGTTGTCATTGATAATAGCAGTGAAGAAGTCCTTAACAAGAAGGGTAGGAGGAGGAAGTCAACAGTGTGGGAGTATTTTGTTGAGGCAATCTTTCCGATTAAAGGGGTACAAACTACTTTTTGGCAATGCATTTGCTGTCGAACAAAATTTCAAAAATCTAAAACAGGAACTACTTCTCAACTTCTACGTCATGTGAGGGAATGTAGACAAATCAAAGCTAAAAATAAGGAAGTCGTTGGTCTT